TCAGTGAAACGGCCTGCGGGGACCTTCTACTCTCGGGGACGACCGTCTCGTCGTTGATCTCCCCCTCGCTTGGGGGCGGGGGCTCCCTTTTCTCGGGACCTGCGGGGGGTTTCGCGGTTACGAAAGTCCCTGGCAGAATTAGCAGCTTCGGTCTCCTCGTACCGGATGTAGTGGCGGGATTTCTCGAGGAAGCCTTACAGGGTGGTTGGTCGGTGGATTGCCACAGCCTCGTAGAATTTGGAGCCGCGACATAGGCCCTGCTCCATGAGGTAACGCTTCATGTCGTCTGAAGTCGTTACATGAACCGACTCCCTCGTGAACCTCTCGATGTAGTTCCTAAGGGGCTCGTCCGGGGCTTGGATGATCGCGCCCAGGGAGGCCTCCATCTTCAAATGGCATCGGGACACCGTGAAATATTGCGATAAGAGATCCTTCAGGAACCTACACGACGTGATGGACTCAGGCTCTAGGATTTTGTACCAAGCCATGGCTCCCTTCCTTAACATTGTCGGGAAGAGCCTGCACTTGATGGCTCCTCGGACATTCCGGTAGTCGAGCATGGCCTCGATATCTTCCAGGTGGTCGTCCAGGTCCGAGGTACCATCGTACGTGGAGAGTGCGGGCGACTTCTCCATCCCGTGGGGGATATGGGTTGCCATGATCTCTCTTGAAAGGGGGAGGGGGTCCTATAATCGTCCTCATCACTGCGGAATGAGGAGCGCGAGGGCGAAGGATTGTTCCGAGGGGCTTGATTACGTCCCCTCGACCTCTTGCCCGGGGCTTCTGGTCAGTTTGCTCTTGGGACCGGGGAACACCTCTCCTTCCTGGGAGGTGATCAGACGCGCTTCTTAGAGGCCACCAACTAGGGCCTCTCCAATTGTGGTCGGCGCCCCCGTTGATGGGGAGATGGGCTCCAGGAGTCTTCACGTTGATTTCTCCGCGGGGGAGAGCGAGATGAGGTATCTTGTTCCAGCATGCCGATGCGCTCGTTCTGCTGGAACAACATCAGATTAAATTGGTTGATGGCTACGAAGAGGGCAGTCATCGTTGGGTTCGCTCTAGCTGGCGTAGGAACGGGCTGGAAAACAGCCAGGCTTCTTGCTCGAGGTGCAACGTGATGTGCCACGTCCTCGGACAAAGGGGAGGCAGTCCAACCGTCCCTCACGTCATCCTCACGGGAGTGGGATGACCCAACCTGGTCGTCATCATTGGTGATTGGGGCGAAGGCAGAATTATGGACAACATCGTCGTGGCGTGGGCTAGTCATGATCTCGGAGGTTAAAGTTGGAAGCTTTGGTTCTTCTGCTCGGAGGAACGGGGAAGCTTTACTTTCCCACAGACGACACCATTGATCATACCTGATCAGAGAGATTGTTGGCCGGTTACGCGTCTGAGCTGTCGAATTGTTGACTTGACGAACAGAGGGGGGGGGGTGTACCTGAAACATAAGTAAGGGACGAGCATAATGATAACAAGTACAGAGAGAAAAGAGTTAGAGTTAGATTAACTGACCCTCTAGTGGAAGAAGGTATTTATAATGAGCCCCCAACGCAGGGCCAACGGTTACTATGCGTTGGGATGGGCTGCCAGGCCCAACGCTGGTAACTGCTAGGGCTGACGTGGCGTCGTGAAGATCATCACATGGTATTCGCCCTAACGTAATTGTTCTGTGCTATCCGGGAGGTGGAGGACCGAATAATCAGGACACAGATAGTTACCTGCTGACGTGTCTCTGCGTAGGGGACACGTTGAGAACATGGGGGAGGTCTGAGGAGCTTTTCGAGATGGATGGGTTCTGCCCGACCGTGGGGAAGAAGAAGGGCGAGTCGGACAGCTCTGAGGATCCTGCTTGACTGCCGTTGGTTCGTGCCCGACGGGAGAAGATGTTCTGCCCGATAGGTCTTTACCCGATGATGAGGTCTTATTGGGCCTTCCAACCTGGTGGGGTTTGGGCATGCTCGACTATGGGTCAAGCGTCGGCCCAGTCCAGAACATAATTATTTTATGGAATAATTTATTATACCATTCCATCCATCCATTATATTTCCGACTACCATACCAGGTTAGACCATTTTTCCATCTTAAAGTTTGACTTGTTTGGCGCCTACCGCAGGTTATACTCAACTTCTCACAATTTTAGTTATGTGATACTTACAAAGTAATGCAAATGATATAGGAAACACCGTTGCAACCGAATGTGTCAATGGGGTGTCGTGATTGGTGATTATTACACGTGGCACAATTTTCTTAGTCCTTCAACATAGTCTTGCATATTTCCAAAGCCCATGTAACATTGTCCTCTTTTTTGGATTTTGAAAATACAAATCCGACTAAAAAAGTCATCTCCGTAGAAATAAGCCAATAATTTCCAAGAGTGAAATTCTATACTTGCTTTTTTGATATGTTGAATTAGTTATGAGCACAGTGAGAAAAGTGTTGAAAAACTTAATAGAATCAGAATGATTCCAAAATATATATAGAACAATGACTTTATCCTCACAAACTTTGTACTTAGAAACATATGCTTCATCTTCCAAAAACTTCAAAATTTGTTGCATCTCATATTTTGGTTCTCTTACGACCTTGTTGTTTCGAGGATGCACGTTGTATATTTTTTTGATATTTGAAATATTTAGAGGTCTTTTCTGTTTCAAAGATGCGAGTGTGTTTTTTGGCGCCGCTAATGTCATGTCTAAAACAAGTTGTCTCTCCTCTAGAACAAGTCGACATACAATGGGATGTCCAGTTAGTTTGCCGTTCAAGGTATGGTTATGTATACCGGAAATCACATTAAATTTCCATGTTTTATTCGCCATATGGTATCCGCACAATTTAAACGGTCACTCACATTTTCTCGATCTCGTGTCATCTCGTTTCAACTTCCTAATCCGTGGTTGGTATGCGCCACTTCTTTCGCATCTCATTGTTATAAATGTATGTCTTCTATCCGAATCATTGTCGGGCCTTTCCATTACAATGTCAAACCCCAATTTCCCGACCTTTATACGGATCCACTGTAGCATATGTTCATGAACAATAAACTCTTGTGTATTTGTAGATTATGCATGAACATCTACCTCAACAACGATCTGTTGAGCACCCGATTTAACATCACCATTCACTTCACCCGATTTAACATCACGCTTCACTTCAACTGTTTTAATATTCACACTAACAATAACATATCCGAGTGCATCATATCTAATAATACCAATAACATAAAAATAGATTCAATACTCAAACTATGACAACATTCCAGATATGCATATCTAGACAACACCAAACTTTGTCTAAAGATGCATATCCGGATTCAACGTTCTTTTTTTCATCTAAAAAACCAGATTAATGCAAGGAATGCGAGATAAAATGAATGACCTTTACCTGCAATTCCAGTTTCTTTTGCTCTCTGTGATGTGATGAAATACAAGAATGATGTTTTGGTGTTGAAAATTTGATTGAGAATGAGAGAAACTTTTAAGGGTTATGAAAAATGGAGGCTTTTTTCAGCATGAAGAAGAAGATCATGCAATATAGTGTTTTATCAAATATTTTGCTTGACATTTTCAGATACGCATCTCCAGAAATGTCACTGAGTCGTTAATAAAATTAGCTCAGTGAATAAAACACCCAAATGAGTACATGTGGTATTTTAGACATGTATATTTGGATATACCCAAATAATATACAAAGATGGATCTCCGGACCGTATTTTGTTCAATATGAGATGGATATCAGAAAAACAAAGTCTAATATGATTTTGTGTGCGTCAAGGGGTATTTCGAAGATGCATCTTCGAATACACCTAAATAATATACAAAGGTGCATCTCCGAATACATCTAAATAATATATAAAAATACACCTCCAGACCATATTTTGTTCAACAATGGAAGATTCTCAGGAAAATGAAATATGATATGTTTTTTAATGCGTCAAAAAATGCATATTTGAACGCATGAAAGATATTTTTGAGTTTTCAGAAGCGTGAAATACACGCATATAATATAAAAGTGTAAATATATTTTCGAATTTTCAGAAACGTGAAATACACATATATAATATAAAAGTGTAATAAGTATTTCCCTTGTTTAATTTACAATTGAAAAATAATATTTTTTTTTGCACTCTTGTAATACCGATTTATATATAATTATAATAAAATAAAATATTTTTAGTAATTTATTACTATAACCAATGTTTTAAAAATCGGACCGATCATCAAATCAATGAAGGTACTGAGTCGCTGTTTCATTGGTCGAACCACATGAGTAAACCAAATAACTCGACTGAATAAATTGATCTTTATAAAAAAACTATATATTTAATAAATCGGTTGAACCTGATGATTCGGTCTCTAATAAATATCACGACACCTACAAAATTTCAAAATATCATAATTTTACAAGTTTGTTCTTTAAATTCAAACTCTTGACGTAGTCGTCACGCACCACAAAATAATACAAAATACAAATCAAAATAAATTTTAAACAATATCTAATTACAAACGAAGAAAAATTATTTCAAATAAGTTTTAAATAAAATCTACTTATATTTTAATTTTATTTAAAAAAATAATTTATCAAAACGACGTCGTTATTATAAAGAAAAAAATAGACATGCATTTAAACCGTCGGTTCATCGATTTTAAACAGTTTTGTCTGATTCCAACAATTAAACCAGATCGATTACCTCTCCGATTCTTGATCCGACCGGCCGATTCGGTCCACTTTTTAAAACACGGTCTATAACCATTTTTTTTAATATCCATAAATTTTGTTAAGTGAATTTTATAACAAGATACTTGTAAAAAAAACATGATCAAATCCAACAAGACAATTTTTAAGGGAAATGTTTCTAACTAAAATAATGTTTTTACCTCCCCGCGCAATTAATCATAAGGATAACGATAATAGAAATTTCAGAACCACATAAATACTGAAACACAGAAATGCATATTTTCATAGTAACCTAACATGCTTCAAAACTCTAAATTATATTTCAAATGACAATGAATTCACACATAGCACCAATTCATGCATCGTTGCATATTTCATCATTCACTTCCTATTTCCCAAATTCACCTTCATTCTCATCTTTTAAACCATCAAACCCTCTCAATTTCACCCCTATCATCAGAACAACTGTTCAATATCACAGACAAAGAACAATAACCAGAGCAACCCTTGATGATATTCAAAGAGATAAACTCTCCTCAACTCCACTTGTTGTGGAGGACGTGAATCCCAAAAGGGTATGCTTATGCTCTTTTCATTTGCATTCATTTTGATTTACTGTCAATGTTTTTAAAGTTTCTTAGAAAATTGAACTTGTTTAGATGTTAAAGTTTGAATCTTTAACAAACCCTTTTGACCTTTTAATATGAAAACTTGCTCAATTTTGAAAGTTTCTTCTTCTATTGTTTTTATCTGAGCTCAAAGTTTGATTTTTTTTTCATGGGGTTTGTGTTTTGTTTTTCAATTCAATTTAGGGTTTGTTTGATAGTAATTAAGTTGTTTATCCAAACCAACCTTAACTTAACACTTAAATTTGTGTGATTACTTAGGAGTTAGAGGAAAATGTGAAAGTGCTAAAAAATGCAGCTAAGACAAGAAAGGTACCAGCGGAGGAGATTCTTTCTGCACTGTCTTTCATTGAGAAAGCAAAAGTTGATCCTTCTGGTTTTCTTGAAACCCTTGGAGGAAAGGAATCCCCTGGGAGAACCTGGATGCTAATTTTTACTGCAAAGGTTAACATATTTCTATTTTTTCGTATGATAATTAATGATTCTGGTTTAAACTATCGATAACAGTATATACTTACTATAATTTTGTGCTGAATTTTAGAAAAAATTAGACGGTGGTCGGTATTTTCCTCTTACAGCTGTTCAGAGATTTGATGCTTCAGTAAGTATCTTATGATACTATCTAAATTTCATTCTTGATAGTCTATTTAGAGTGAATTGTCTAAGTTAGAATGTTATATTGATGAAATTGTTAGGCGAAGAGGATCGAAAACGGTGTATTTCTTGGACCTATTGGACAATTAACATTTGAAGGAAAACTTTCATGGAAAAACAGAATACTGTCTTTCATTTTTGAGAACCTTCGAATAAAAGTTGGACCTTTGAAACCGCTACAAATCAGCCTTGGACAAAAGGATGACAGGGAACCAAGTACCAAAGATCCCTTTTTCATCTGGTTTTATGTTGATGAGGAAATAGCTGTTGCTCGAGGCCGAAGTGGAGGCACTGCATTTTGGTGCCGGTGTCGTCAGGTTGAAAATTGATTCTTTTAAGGGTCTTTTTCTGAGTTTCTGACTTATTGGAAAGAAAGATTGATGTAGATAATTTGAAGCAGTTGAAGTTCTTTCTGGTGAGTTGCTTTTTTGTACCTGTGTACTGTTAGTTTTATAGTACATACAATCCAGAAACTGAAATGTATATAGATGCTTCAAATTGAAATTTTCATTTCATGATATGTTCATGATGCGGGGCCATTTGTGAAAAAGAATTACTCAGCATTAAAGTGAAGAGGATTCAAAAAATTTAGTTATATATTGAATAACTTTCTTACCAATACTTGTGATAGTTTTATCCATACATGTCTGCATTTCTTAAGCTGCGATTTTGAATTTTATTTCTTATATAATGGATATTACACCAATTTTCTGTTTAATACTTCTGTTCTGTTAAGAGTCTCGTATTGGATGAGATATGGTCTGAAAATGTGTTTATAAGCGGGGTAGTCATTACCTTACAAACTGAATTTAAGCCAATGAGGAAAAAGATGCATTAATTTAGCATATTTTTTGTCTTTCAAAATGTTTTTCGTATCTTGATAAAGTATGAATAGATTTGTATCAAGAGGAACTTCCCTTTTTGGAGGAGTAGAAAAGGAAATCTAGGGTGAAGTCTAAGATTGACAATTTTCTCAGAATTTGGGTTTGGCCTAACTCATCCATGCAAAACCGACTCGTAAGGTGAGAATCGCCCCCACTTATAAACACAACACAAACAATATCTTAAGCAATGTGGGACTACATTCACCCCTTCAAACCCAACACAATGAAGGTGTTGGAGGCTGCAATGAAGGCAAGCCAGATGCTGCAATTTAGCTGATTAGGGGCAGACCGTAATGAAGGCGGAAATTCCAACAAATTTGATGATATGTCAGATGCATCTTTGATGAATCTAGCAACTCTGACTTATTTTATAGCAGCGATGAATCGCGGTTTCCACATTGTTGCATTTACATGTTTTTGTTGTACATCCCATGTATATATACATAATGCAAAAGTACACACTTTTATATCTATATTTAATCAAACCAAATAAACAAATCCGAACCGACAGGCTGAAAAGAACACAGAAAGGGGTTAAAAGAAAAAGAAAGAAATATCAAAATGAAAATAATCAATAGGGTCACTCAGTCTCAGACCCTATTTTACTATAGAACTTTCTTTGATACATGAATGAAGCTTTTTATGATACATGAATGAAGCATTTTATGATACATGAATGCAAGACTGTTTCCTTGCCATAACTAATCACTTTACAAGCTTAACATCTGGGTTTCGAATGGTTTTGAGCCACATATCAGCCACGATCCGTGATGAAATACTATATAGCAGGTCTTGTCCCTTTGCTACTGCTTGTTTCCCTTTCTTCCCTGCCTTTACCAACCCATATGCAACTAACCATTGCATTGCGGTTAGTCTCTGCTTCTCGTTGTCCCATCCGGTCTTCTTTGTAGAACTCCTAACCTTGAAACCTCCCACATGCATGCTTATTACTTTATACCTCTTCTCCTCCTCAGTCCCGTTCGTGCCAGCACGAGTTGCATGAATAAGCACCATCACAGGGCCTCCAACTGTTTCATAGCGTCTCATTGGATCCCGCAGTTGGACAACCAATATCAGTGTGACTCTCTCAGGTTCACCATCAGAACTTGCAGTTGCAGAGCCCTTGTTGTTGCCTAAGCTTTGGTTTCTAATCCAATCCTCAAGGGGAATAGCAGAAGCCAAAAGATCTTTCCCACTAACCCCTTTCTTTGAGCTGAGTGCAGAAAAATCAAATGGAGCTTCTTCCTCGGCTACGTCAGCTTGAATTTTCAGCGCCTCGACTGTCATAGACTCTATCTTCTGCATTGAAATAGCAAGAAGCTTCTCGGGAGTAACTGGATCTTCATCAACATTCCAAAGTCCTGTTGTTATCCGTTCTCTCCTTCCTGAACTGATAATGTTTGACATGCTTTTCAAAGCAGAAACTATGCGGGCAGCGCTGGAACTTGCTCCTTCCTTGTTTCTACCTTGTAGGACGGCTGAAGCAATGCCTTCAAAAGCAATCTGCTCTGCAGTTTTGCCTATCAGTTCATCTATCGGCATCAAGGAGGATAAGACTTCAGAGCTGAGTTCATCAAGACCAATGCTAGCCAATTTCTGAAACAAATCAAACCCACTCATCGATTCATGTGATGCCAACACAAAAGGCTTCGACATCTGCATTGCCAGCTTTGGAGTATCTTTTCTAGCCACTGCGACATCCAAAGGGTTCATGGAAGCTAAGTAGCCCCCGTCCCGTGTTTGAACCACGCAACCCAAGCCTTTACCAAGTTCAGAGAGATATACTTTGGATTCTCCTCCATCTGCCGGAGAATCGTTGTGTCCTTGTTCAAGTTGTAAAGATGGAATTTCAGGTTGGTTGAATAAGTATCCTTTGTTGTCTTGATCCACCTCAAGCATCTGTAGAAACTCCCTAGTCACAGTTTCTTCATCTGCATCCAGTGCATCTGTCTCTTCATCAATTTTCATCATGTTATTCATATCATCATCTCCCATCATAGACTCGAGAGCTTTTATTTGTTGAGCAATTGAATCAAGCTCAGACAATCTAGCATGGTGCACATGATCGTGCACTACTTCCTTCACAACCTCGTCTGCAACTGGTTTCTCTTCTACAGATTTATCAGATTCCTCTCCATCTTCTCCCTTCTCTTGAACCTCAATCCCTTTATCAACAACCTCAAAATCTGGAAGATCAAAATCATCCACCTGTTCTATGTGGTCACGATCGACTGTCTGGACAGAAGAAGAGAGATCATGAACTGGATTCGGGTCATCAAGATTCAAATCATCCATTCCTTGGATACTGTCACCTTGCCGTGCTTGTGAAGGACTCCACGCGTCGCTCCTGCTTGTCATTCTGGGACTAGGCACGCTGAAAGATGACTTGGATTGTTTGCGTGCGAAAGAAGATGAGAAACTACTCAACTTGCTGGACTTTGGATTCGCCATTGGACTATTGCTATTGCTATTATTATATATATCAACTCCTCCATCTTTCTCCACAATCTGAAATCCAAGTTTCACAACAAGTTCTCCGCCTTTTGCCTTTCCAGATAACTCGAAGCTCGTATCCCATTGCCTAACTCGCGAACCTTGTTGGCTCTTCTCCACAGACTCTTGAATCAACTCGCTCAAATCCACATAGCTTCTTCCAAAATCAAGCTCTTGAGCATCAACAGCAAAAAGGTATATCAAAAAGGGACGTGGCTCAAACTTACGCCTCTTCTCATGATTGTTGTTGGTGTAATAAGCATGGCACTTGATAAAAAGGGTCTCCTCAAAATCAGCAGCTCCTTGTGAAACGCGTGACGGCATTGTCTTAACAGCACCATCCTTTGTTTCCTGCTTCCTAACGCAGACAGCTAACCTTAATCCATTCATGGAAGAAGGAAGGTCTTGAGCAGCAACTACTTCAACAGAAAACAAACAGCTAAGTTTCTGCATTCCAATATGTGAAAGTGCTCGCATAGGCTTCCACTTCCAAATCCCTTTCTTCTCATTTTCTCCCAAATTAGTTGTTGATGTCTTAGCCGCCACCTTTTTGGTTTCAGTCTTTGAAATTCCATCCTCAAGCTTTGATTTTGATCGCCACGGGGACAAGGACATACGACGGGATCGCTGTTTGTTACTACTTTCACCATAAGCTTCAACCGTGTGTCTGTCATTGTCATCATCATCTTCAATAGACGGAACAGGAGTAGTTCGCGGCAAGACAAGCGAAGCTGTTCTTCGAGCCGTGGCGGACGTGTGTGATTTGTAAAGGGTATCACTCAGAGCCTCGAGCTCTTCAAGAATCTGAGCATTGGGATTGCTCTTGGTATCTGCCATAGGTAATAGTCAATGAAGAGGATGTTGCTGCAATGAATGGATAATGAGAAGATAAGATGCTCATATCACATGTTTAAGCGTGGCGATTTTTAAAGGCGGTTTCTGAACCAAGAAAAAAAAAACAATGATGAATTGGATTTGTGGAGGATAGAAGATGAATGGTGACATTGCATTGTTCCTTGGTGAGTAAGACAAATTTGGAAATGGATAGGTTGATTTGTGAGTAGGCAAACTGGTCCCAGAGAGTTTAATGTGAATTGTTTGCTTGTGGCAGCACTGATTGGTATGTTTCACAGACACAAGATGCTGATTTTGTGAAACTTCTCTTCCTCACCTCAATTTCTTTAGAATATTTGGGAAAACAGAAGAAGCCAGTGGAAAAGGTTATTTCAACAGTGATAATAGTTATTCCTAACTTTGTTTACTTAATATGTAAGTATAATATTTATCTTTTTGTATTTTCAGAATTTATTTTCCTCCAATTGTTGAATTTTGTCATTGTTCAAAGTTCAAACAAAAACATTACTACTTGTTTGGGAAAAGGTTTTGTTATGATTCAAATTTCAACATGATACAAGCAAAACCACAATAAATTGATTATGGTAATTGTTCAAGTTTTTGAGATGGTGAGATGCTGTCTCCGAGGGTAGTATTCGGCAACATGATCGACCGATCAACTCTGCTTTGAGCTTTCCTTGCCTAATAAATAAAGTAACAAGCGTTTTGTTAATAGAAAAGATGCAATGACAAACAAAAATTAGTGTTTAGTTATTCTGAATTTTCTTACTTGTTCTTCCCAGTTAGAACGAATTGTAAATATACTGTAAAGTAAGGTTTGGACAGTAAATGCCGAGATGATCCCCAACCACAGTCCCTATTTTTTAACACAAGGAAAAAACTCAATCACAGACACGAGATCACAAGTTTCAGACTCGAATCTCACTATAAATGTAGTAAGAATTAGAATACGATATTTACCGTGGCATGCATGTGTAGAAAAAAGGCTAATGTAACTGCACACGGTACACCGATTACGTAAAATGAACCAAGATTCACATAGGCTCCGATCTTCTGCCATCCGCATCCTGCAAGAACACCTGCACCATCGAAATTGT